TTTTAAATTATATTGTATATTATTGTACTAACTTTTTTCCAATTTTCTTTAGAAGTTTTAAATTCAATTTTTTATATTAAATTTTTCCTATTTTTCTTAATATCATTTTTTTACATAAAGTTTTTCATAATTTATATATTTAATTTTATTTTATTTTTAAATACAATTTTTTTATTTTCCCCCCCAATATTTTGTAATTTCATATTTTATTTTAAATTTTTTCATAATTTTTTTTCCAGTATTTTATTTTAAATTAAAATTTTTATTAGTATTTCCAAATAAATAAGTTTTAAATAAATTTTTTATTTTTTTATCAAATTTTTTTAATTTCATAACTTATTTTTAAATTTTTTTCCGTTTTAAATTTTAAATTTAGTTTTTTCGTAATTTTTATTTCCAAATTTCTTTTGTAATTGTCAATTAATTTTTTTTTTATTTCTTTTTATTTTTTTTATTTCTTTTTATTTCTTATATTTTTAAATTTCATATATTTTATTTTAATTTTTTTATAATTTTTATTTACAGTTTTTCATTTTAATTTTAAAATAAATTTTTTATTTTGTTTGCCAAATAATTAAATTATAAATTACATTTTTTCTTGTTCTCTCTACTTTTTTAAATTTTATATTTAAGTCTTAATTTTTTTAAATTATTTTTTTCAGATTTTAAATTAAATTTTGTATCTTTATTTTCTTCCTTTATGTAATTTTTTTTTTAATTAATTCATATTTTTCTTTTAAAATTTTAAATAAAATTTTGTATTTTTTAATTTTTTTTTATTTAATATATATTAAAATTTTTGAATAATTTTTATTTAAAACTTTATTTTGTTTTCCTATTTTTTTAATGTTATGTTTTTATATATTTTTTATCTAAATTTTTACATAATTTTTATTTTAAAATTATTTTATAATGTAATTATATAAATGTATATATTTTTATAATGTAACATTATATATGTTTTTTTTTTTTAATTTTTTTTTTAAATTTAAATTTTATTTCGAACTTTTTTCGTATTTTTTTAATAGTAAAATGTTGAATTTATTTTATTTCAATTGTCTTTATAATTTTGTGTTTTTTAATATATATAGTCAATTTTATATTTTATTTTAATTTCTTTCCCCAGTTTTTAATTTTGAATATTAATTTTGTCATAAATTTTATTTCCTTTGATTTTAGTTAAACATTTTAAATTTACCTAACTTTTTACTTAAATGTTTTTCCTATATACATTACTTCCAATAAAATTTATAGATTCTTATGTTTTTCATATTTTTTATTTTAAACTTTTATTTTTAATTTCCAAATTTTCAATTTTCTTTTTAAATTTTAAAATTAGTTTCTAATTTTTATCTGTTTTCCCAATGTTTCTTAACAAATTTTAAATTATAATATTATATTTCCTTTTTTCATTTATTATTTCAATATTAATTTGTTATAATAATTATATCCATTTGTTTTTATATTTCATTTAAAATTTTTAATTTTTATATAAATTTTCTGTTTACAATTTATACACATATACATTTTTACTCCTAATTATTTTTATTCAATAATAATAATTCCATTAAATGCATTCATTCCCACTCACGCACGCCGCTCATTAAAAATACTCACTCGCACTCACAGCAACCACGCGGCGGCGTCACAGAAAAAAGCCACATTTCAAATAGTCACATTTATACCAGGTGGCTGGAGAAATATTTTTGTGGCCGCCAGTGCGCCCTGTTAAGTTACGCCGGCGCATATACTAGATTTGCTGCATTACTCTGCTACATCCAGCAAACCGCCGCTGTAGGAAGCGCCAGTGCACCCTGTACCGTGGTCCCTGCGCATATGCTACGTTTTCTTACCTTTTATCCTTCGTGTTTGCCAAATGAGAAGTCAGTCATGTTTTTTGTTTAATTATTTATAAAAAAAAATTATATTTAATACTCATAATATTAATAATACATTGTATTTGCAATTGTAATTCTATATTTATATCTATATATATAATTTATATTATTTTATTACTACGCAAGTATGTAACTTCTTGTATATATGTATATGTTTATGTGTGTGTGTATGTGTTTGTATAGCTATAAATTTAATACATACAATTTGCAGACACAGATGTATGAGACCGTTAACGGTGCTAATTTACTTCGACCACAATTTGTTTGTTTATTTCGCTTTGTTTTGTTTTCGGTTTATTGATTCATTGATCATTTCCGCTTATTTGCTAGCTACAAATATAAATGTTTCAATTTACATATGTATGTATGCGTGTGTGGATAAAGTTCGCGGGTGTATTTTTTGTTACACTTATCATATTGTTGTTTGTTTGTATGTGTGTGTGTTGTGCGGTTTAATTTAAGGAGAACAAAAAATTACACACAATTTCATTTAATGCGATAAAGTGTATTTTTTGTTTTGAAATTATAAATATGTATATAATTATGTACATATGCATGTATGTGTGTGTATGAAAATAATAACAAATTATAATTGTTATGGTGATAGAATTGTATGCGTGCAGCAATTGTCATGTTACGTAACGGAAAACAACTCATACACTTAATTGATTGTGGTGAAATCAATGCTTAATTTATAGGAATTAATAAAAAGTGATTTCTTACTTTAGTGCGTAGCTAAAAAATACAAATTAAATGCGAAGTAGAATAATTTATGCGTTTAAAACGCTTGGCTTACAAATGCTAGAGTCGGTTGCCTTCGTGTAAAAAACTAATGAGCTTACAAAAAATATACATTATGCGTCAAATTATTGTAATTATTGAAAAAAAAATATATATGATTAATATATATATGTATGTATTTTCCTTAATTGAAATGGCTGAACCAAACGAGTGAGAGCTTTAGTACCAAAACATTACTTCATTTAACTTAAAAAAAATGCTATACAAATAAACTTAAAAATTATAAAAATATGATATACCTATACAAACTCGCTTACATTATAGTTACAATAGATTTATACAAAAATGTATTAATAGAAAACTTTATAACTAAATTTTGTCTAATTTTGTGAGCGTCATAAATATGCGAAATTTTTGCGAAATAAAATACTATGCGTTAGCAAATGCTGCCAAAAATTCTTTGAGTACGCAAAATTTGCGTTTTTGTTTTACTAAACCATTGACAATATTGGAATAGAACATAATAACAACAGGCACAATTTGTTTTGATTTTGTATATAAAATTTGTACATTGTTTTCGAAAATGCAACAAATTTTGTAAAAATAATTTAAGTTAATTTTAGTGCGCGCAGATTACATAAAATATTTATTAAATTGTTAGCATAATAAACGTTTAGTCAGCTATTGGCCCTAATAATGCCAGAAAATCGTGAAAAAAGCAGCACCAGACACATGTTGCACAATATGATGTTGATTGGCATTAAGGTTTTAAAACACATTGGTGCTAAATGTTGCATTTTTCAATTGTTGTAGGCAATAACTTAATTTTAGTTTTGAACATTTTAGCATTAACATTACATAATTTTCAAATGTTGCTGGCAAGTTGCGCAACATTGTTGCTAAGTGTTGTTGTAGGCAATAATTTAATTTTAGATTTGCGCTAGCATAAGAACAGCATAATTATAAAATGTTGCTAGCAACATGTTGCATATACAAATGTTGCAAAACAAAATTTTGCCGATTTTTTTGCACAGTGTATGAAAATCGAAAAAATTTTAAACAACCTTTCAGTTATGTTGCTTTCTTGCTGTAAGAATTTAGAAATTTAGAATGTTAAAGGAAAAATATTAGCTTCAAAAATTTCTATAAGGTTGTTCAGAAAAATATATACTTAAAAAATAAGTTAATTTAAATGAAACAAAAAATAATTTGCTGCTTTGAGTTTTTTATAGCCACTTTTAGAAAATTTATCTACAACTTTTTAACAATTTTGACATTTTTTAAAGTTTCGCCAACCCTACCTACCATGCTGAGTACTGCCGCCAGGCAAATTTTTTCAATTATTGTAATATAATATAAATTGTTAACTACCTCTTTCGATTTTAACTTTTCGCAAGCAAATTAAATGCATTGTAGCTAATTTATTGGTTTTATAGGTAAGTCATAGTAATTAATTAAAAAAAAAAAGAGAAAAATTCAATGACCCAACCGGAAATTGTACGCTAGAACCAAAAAATTTATCGACCTATCAGTTGACCCAGTCAGTTACTATTAAACTATTTTTTAATTGAGTTAAGTTTTCGCGTTTAAGCCGAAGCAACAATTGCTTTTACGTTTTCGAGTTGAATGCGATGATCGTGGGATTTTTAGGTTAGGTAGAGTTTGCATGGTTTTAAGCAAATTTTTTTAAGGATTAGCAAAAGAAGTTTACGTAATTGTTCAAAAATTTATACAGCCAATAATTTTGCAAAAGACCTCTCAATAATTCCTTTTCTTTATGAAAAAACTCCCGTTTTCTGGCATTCTATACATTGGCTTTCGAGTCAGAGCCAAAAATTATATGGGATTTTATGAAAAAACATTAATTTAATGTTGTTAGAAATTTTCAAAAAAATTACAGATTTAACATTTCAATTTACAGCAAAAAATTTAATCATAATAAAACTCTGCTTCTTTGGCTTGTCAACAAATGTTGGCAAATGAGATCGTATTTGTCTCGCAATTTTTTAAATAATTTTTTAAATTTAAACAGTATTTTTTTAATTAAGGAATTTAAGTTAAATAGGACAAACATAAAAAATATTTATTTAAAAATTGTGAGTAATTAAGTTTTCAGATTTTTTTGTAAAAAAAAAAAAATAAGTTGAATAGGAATAAAAATTAAATATTATATATATTCAAAAATTGTGAGTAATTAGGTTTTCTATTTTTTTTTTCAAACAAAAAAAAAAAAAATAAGTTAAATAGGAAAAATAAATAAAAATTGTGAATAAAAAAAATTATTAGTGAAAAAAAAACATAAACAAAAAAAATAAATACTTAAAAAATTTAATAAAAAATTTTCCGGTTTTTTAAAAAAAAAAAAAAATAATAATAATAATAGCACACTACAGTGATTATTTCCAGTTGGGTTGCTACTTGTTTTACCGTTGTTTTTTTATAGTCTGCATTTAAGCTTTTTCTGTATGTATATGTTTTTGTATGTGTGTATGCATGTATGTGTGTGCTTGCTATATACAATTTCAATTAATTTTTTTCCGATTTGTTTATATCTCTATGTTATATGTATGCTTGCTTGTTTTTTGTATACATTTTTAATAAATTACAATTTTAATTCAAATTAGCTGCAGGATTTCGGCATAATTGTGCTATTTGTTTTTGTAGCCGGTAATTGCTGTTCCTTATTTTTACATAATAAAAATTTTACACATATAATTTGCATTATTCAACACCAGCAATACCTGTTGTACAGCTGCATATGCACTTATCAGCTATAAATTGCACCAACACATGCAATCTAAACTATTTACAGTTATTTTCGCGCTTGTTCACTGTGTATATATATGTATGCTTTTCAATTATGATATTCCAAAAAAAAAAAACATTTTTTTTGCACTGTCTATATGTATGAGTTTTTCAATTATGATGGAAAAAATTTTTTTAAAATAATATTAATTCACATTTTTAAAAACTTTCTGTAGTTATGTTATTATTTTTTTTTTTATCATGCAAATTTTTGAAAATGCTTTTCTGTTTGTTATACATCGCTTTACTGTTGTAATATTTACGCATGAATAATTACATACAATTAGCGGCATATAATATATAATAGAAATATATATAACATTTATATATATAATGCATAATATGTATGTATATATGTTACATATTGAAATCGGTTAGCATAAAATCATTTTGCTTAAATATTGTACAATTCCTCCAACTACGCAATCGAGAGCTCGCTTTACAGCTCTTTCATTACTCTAATTCATTACAAGTATTTGCTTAATTACTTCAATTACATACATGCCTATGTACTAATACTAAAACATTTTTGCTTAGTATATCACTTACAACTACTATATATATATATATATATATATAGCTATACTATTGTATATCATACTATTCTTCAGTTTTACACATTTCGTCTATAATTTGAAAATTTCGCTTAAAATATAAAGTTAAACTTTACTAATTTAGTTAGCTCGTTTTCATTACCACTTTTTTTTTCTTTTCGTTTTATGTTTTTTGTTTTTGTTTTTTATCCTTTTTACAAATGTATAACTAGCTAAGAATGTACATATCGCTACTGTACTTACAATTAAATAGTAAAAAAATATGTAAAAAAAATTGCAGCTTTTTTTAAGAGTAGAAATTTTTTTTTTTTTTTTTTGGAGTATGGTAAAATATACGCGAAAGTGGTAAGAAGCGCCTTTCCGTTTGGCAAATATCGTCGTTATAAAGCTTAGCCAAAGTTCAATGCACCAAATTTCAGCTGCAATATCATTTTTCGCCGACAGCATATTCTGCTTACAGCTTTTACAGCTACAAAGCTTTTTCTGCGCTTCCGCTCGTTTTTGCTCTTTATTCCTTCGCTTACTGTGCAAAGTGCGCCCATTTTAAGTGTTTCCTTCATTTCTTTCTCTATTTCATTGTTGCCCAATTAAAAATGTTTGTTGTAGTTAAAATTGGAAAGAGCAAAAGAAATAACAACAACGTAAAAAAAGACGAAGCAAAAAAGTTGTACTAATTTGTTCTTTGAAATTGTGCACTACTACTTTTTAAGTATGAAAGTCCTTTTAGTTGCATTTGCTTCATTCTTCTTCTTCTTCTCGAATTTCCATTATTGCATTTTCATGTTTTCTAAAAGTGTTGTTCTCTGTTTTTTCGTTTTTCGTTTTTTGTTCTTTGTTTTGTTATTTGTAATTTGCTGTGTAATTTACTAAACTCTACATCAGTCGTTTGGCACACAAGTCGTCACGCGATTAGCCACACTTCTTTGTGCGAGGTGGTGAATTCGAGTGGTGTGTTGCAGTGAGGGTAGTATTATACAAGTATTTACCGTTAAGGCTGTTTAAATAATGGTGTTGGCGGTATTCACGAAACACAGAGCGGTTTGAGCGACAGCTAAGCTATAGGAGGTGTGTAATGAATTTAAAGCTACTTTGCTGTTGAAAAAGTGAACCGTAGAATTATATTTCTCTCAAAAATATGTAGGCAAATAAGCAGGTGTTGACCAAAAATAGCCAAAGTCTTAAATAAAGTTGTTTTGGAGCTTCAATTTAAATGTTTAAAATTCAATAAGAGCATTCTTTATGGCAAGGAATTTTAATATATATTTTTCACTACATTATTTTGAATATTTCACCACACGCATAGTGGTAGCATAATAATGCAAACACCAAACGGTGAATTTATTATCTGAGATGGAGATCTTGCGAAGTTTAATAGCTCAAGCTTAAGCTGTTACGAATTTTTCACCACATAATTTGGAATATTTTACTAAACGCATGGTGCTAGTAATTTTAATCTAATTTTTTCACCACACTATTTTAAATAATTCACCACAGTGAATGAAACGGTGAATTTATTATCTGGAGATGTTGAGAAGTTTAATAGCTTCAACTCAGACTAACATAAATTTTTCACCACAATATTTTGTGTATTTCAACACACCTTCTATCAGAATACTGCACCTTCCAAACAAAAAGTTATGAGTTTGTTTTGTTAAAGATTACAAGAAATAGCTTAAGCTGAATCTAATATGTGGTTCTCAGCTTGATAATTGTTAACTCAAATATTTTAGTCTAAGCTTATCATAAATATAATCTCCATCTGTTTATGGTCTTCATTTAGGCTTTAGTGAGCATGAATTGTATCAAATCTCTAGTGTGGACTATCAATAAGGTAGTCAGTATACCCATAGATGAACTTTAAAGCTTATGCGCTTTGAGCTTATGCGTTTCCACGGCTATGGGGCCTACTTAACCGGAGGGTATCCAGATTTTTCTTCGGCCAAGAACTATTAACGCCGTAGCGTTTTCCAAAATTATTTGTGGAATATTTTCTGCAGCTACAACAGCAACAATAATATGAGATTTAAATTGGAAGGATATAGTAATTTTTTCCATGCCAACCACACGTTCGCTTTTTTGACAGTTATGCACATAACAAGTCTGCCTTCACATATTCACCCTCAAGCAACTATCACCGTGGCTGCAACACATGGCTAAAAGTGGGATTATGGCATGCCACTAACATATACATCTCAACACACTCCCACCATCCGAATTCAACACCTCATCCGGAGGTGCCAGCGAACCGCGTACCTTTCTTTAGTTGATTTCCAATTATTTTCCAACTAACTATTGCATGCATACCTATCTATACATATACGAGCACGTACGTACGTACTTACTTACATACCTATACACTAAACTTTCGCACATTTACCATACATTTACGTTGCCGCTTCACGCTGTCACTGCATATGGTTTATTATTATGAGCTGCCATTTTTTCTGCAAACTTTTAGGTGGCGTCGTCGCTGTTGGGGTTGCTGTTGCTATTGCTGTCGCCGCCATTGTTGTCGTGCAACTAAACTTCAGTGCCGTCCTCACCCTCGTCGTCGAACAGTTGGCTGGTGCTGCCTTGGCCGCCGCGTGTTGCCGTCACCGACATCTTCTTCTTCGGTTTTGGTGGTGGGCGTGGCGGTATTTTCGTCACTTTCGTTGGCTCACTCGTCGACGCGTTGGTGCTGGTGGAAGTGTTCAATGCGCTGCTGCCGCTGATGCTCGGCACAATGGTGAGACCGTTGTGATGTCGCGCGGTGCCATAAAGTGGCTCCGTATCGGAGGTCGTTGTCATATGATGATTATGCATCAGCTCCTGTATGGGTTCGTAGATTTTCGCAGCAGTCACAGCGGCCGCTGATGTGCTCGCGACACTTTTGTTTTGCTTTGTTGGCGTGTGTTGTTGTAGCTGCTGTAGCTGCTGCTGCTGCTGCGCTTGCTGTGTATGCTGTAGCTGCGGCTGTTGCATGGCTGCCGATGCGCTCGATGACGCCACCGATGTAAGGCTCGGCGTTGCCGGTAACGGCCGGTCGCGCATTGTGTAACGCGTCGACGAAGTAGCGCCGCTACTCGCCTCCGAATGTGCTTTGTGCAAGTTTAACGTCGAATTGCCAGCGGCTGTTGTGCGCAGTCCGAGATTGTCGTACACGGGCTCCGCTTGCAGTTCGGCTGTGGTGGCGGTGCCAGTTTCGCTGGGATTTGGCGATGTCGGCGATTGGAATTCGCTTAATTGTGTGGCATTTGTGGTGGATGTGGAGGGCGCCCAGCTGGGTACGCGCGGTTTGCGCGGTATCGTCATGTAGCCTTGCTTCATCACCACCGCTGTGGTGGGTGAGTACATAACGGGCGCTGGCAAGAACGGTGATTGTTGTTGGTGTGCGCCATGCTGTGGCGGCAGGTGGGCGTGTACATGTTGCTGTTGCAGCTGTTGACGATTGTTAGCCGCTGCGATGAGCGCCAAGTTGCGCGATTTCGGATGTTGTAGTGTCATGAAACCGTTCGGTGTGGCGGCGGCGATGGTTGTAGTGCCGTAGATGCCATGCGGTGTCATGTGCGCGTACACAGGACTGGTGAGCGGTGGTGAGCGTATGCCGTAGATGATTTGTTCGGGTATATTGCTGTGTGACGATTGCATGGAGGGTGAGGTGGGCGGTACGCGTGCTGGGAAGGCGAGCAGATCGGGCGGCAGGCTGGTGCCGTAGGTGTCGTCGATGTAAGTGTGGCGTACGCGTGGTGCGGTGGCATCCGATAGAGCGACTGAGTGGGTTTCATCGTCGCGCGGGTGATTGCCTAGAAAAAGCGGGCAGAAATATGGAGCGTGTGAGTACAAATATAAGTTAAGCGCAATAAATGATACACACTAATAAACTGACTAATTGAAAAATATGTGCAATTGTTTGCGAGATTTTTGTGCGCTTTGTTTGTGAAAATTCTTTTATTGCATGCTACTGTTAGTGCCACCAATAAAAACCAACAATGTTATCAAAAAAAGAAAAAATAAAGTTTTAAAACAATTAGACTGCATTGATTGCAGCGCAAAACTTTTCCGCGCGTCAAACGCGCCATGCTTTGTTCTCAATTAAAATAAAAAATAATAAAAATTGCACTAGAAAAACTTTATGTACTAGCAAATTCCTAACTGATGTAGAGAATTGAAAAATTTTCAGCATGAACGGTTTATTTGGCGCGCGGCGAAGTCAACCGCTTGCGCAGCAAAAGCAATTAATCTTTTAGTTCCGCGCCACCGCCAACAACGCTGATTTTTCGAAACCGAATTCCCTATTATATATTTAACTACATACATATGTAGTTGTTGTTGTATGTATGGTATATACGGGCATTTGTTTGTTTGTATGTATGTGTTCATAGCAGCTACAGCGCGGATATGCCAGTTGTCCAAAATACCAACTGACAGGCCGTATAAAAATGAAGCGTCAATTTGTTACAACATTTTAGCTTTGCTGCAGTCCTATATTGAGCTTTGTATAGACTGTGAATTGAAAAATGTTATTTGAGTTAAGAAATTCCAGTTATGCACTGATTGCGTAAGCAATTGTGCCAATATTCATATAAAGGGAACATTTAAAATTTTAATTTTTAAATTAAAAGATTCGGAATTTTTGGTAAGCATATAAAGTTGAAAAGCCTAAGTATTATAAAAAAACTTAGTTGAGTAACACCGAAGCCAAAAAGAAGAAAAGACGAATCGAAATTGAGTAAAGGGCTCAAGCTCAGGTTGGCCAATAAAAATTCGAAAAATATAATAGTATGCGAATACCTCATTGAAGTGGTGTAACAACTATCTTCAATGCTATCAAGTTTTATTTTGCATACTTTAGCTCAGTTTTACTATTGTGAATAGCTCAAATGACAAAGCAAAATACTTTTATTCTTTAATTTTAAAAACTTGAGACTTTTATTATAATAGTTTATAGAAAAAACTACGTGGTAACGAAAACTTATTTTGACTTGGAAAAAAGAATTTCTCTACCAAGAAAGAATCGCAGCACAATTGCGTATTCGTCAGACGGCATGCTAGCGCAGGATTGCACCACGAGTGCTGCCTGTTTGTTTAGCATCTCATATAGTTTGTTCGATTGACTACTTTTCAACGCTTTGTGAATCAAAGACAGCTGATATTTATATGAGATAATCTCGAATCACTTAGATTGAAGTTTGAAAAATCTGATGTACAATTTTTTTTTTAATTATTATACTAATCTGAACGGCACCATACATATATCAAGATGAGAACTGCAGTTAACCGAAGTGAGCTATATTTCTTGTCCATATAACGAGCTCTAGTTAAGTTAGTCTTAGTTATAATTTATATCTTATCTGTTTTAATTGTATTTCTGAGTACCATATTGAATCATGCATTGTTGAAAGTCTTCAAAAAGACTAATCTTTATCAAATATGATGTAAAAACTTTTCTTTAATTCTAAAGCCTATTATTATTAATTCTTTAAAATTATTATTAGTTTGCGTTAATACAAGCTAGAAGACCCGATTGTCTCGGCTGGATTCTGGAACTATCAACAGGTGAAAAACGTATTGAAACGATGTCTAACTAAAAACTTTTGTTCTTTACCATCTATCTGTCTAGGTCCATGTCGATCTATTTTTTTAAACATCTTTCGTTTCTATTCTGTCAATGATTATTTTCAAAACAACAAGCAAAATATATTCAGTTCATCCGTAAGAAATATTAAGATATTAAGATCCTTAACAATATTAAATGAACAATTTTCCGTTTTTGATGTTATTGTGGTTAACAGAGCAAGGATGAGCCACCTGAGTTGAGCCACTTTAACGAAGTCATAAAAACTTCAAATTCTCTTAATTGCCTTACCTCACTTAAATATCACATGAATGCAAAACATTGTTAACCTCTAAACAAATAAAATTATGGGAGGATTTTTAAAATAATGCAAAATCAGAAAACAAAAACGAAATTACGTACGAATTAACACAACTTTCAAAGATGCACTACGAGTTGGTATGCCCAGTAAATCTTGAATTCAAGTCAATTTGTCAGCACCGAGTTTCCATTTTTATGGTTGGTTAGACGGTTAGGTCAAAAATTGGCGAATATATTCCAAATCAACGGAGATCTCAATAATAAGCTTTTTGCCCTTTACTCTACGATCTGTACTACTCCAAAGTAATTATGAAGACGACCCTGTATTGGTAGTGTACCAAGACTTCAGGTGTTCTCTATAAGCCATTGTTTCAATCCGCCTTTGACGGAACTGTACGCTCTGGGAACCGCGTTCGATTTTTATATTTCCTCAGCTACTTTCTAAGAACGAAATTCAAGCTGAAAAATTTCGTTTCAAAATATATTATGCGCACAGCTATTTTGCCCAAAAATATACTTGTTCACTTGTACATAATACGATACAAAATTTGATAACTCTATCCTCTATCATGTCATGAATACCTGATAAAATAATTGCTATGCCAACACGAAATTGCTGCAGGTGTCTAGCAAATACATAAGTACATTTGGGGATCCGTTATTTTCCAAGTTGCTTTTGTTTTATGGCAGACGGTACAACATGTCGTATGAGCAACAGAATATATAAGGCATTTCAATAAATGCTTAAAGCATTAGATGAATAACTTTAACTGCGCATAACTTTGCAAGGAATGGTTTTATGGAAAAAATTACAAAGCCCTTTTTTGTAGAACGTTAAATTTTGTATTACAATTTCTTTCTTTTAAAGTTGTAGGTTTACTTGCTTTAAGCAAAATGTCAAAAAATCCCATGTTACAATATGTGCAGGGCAAAATTAATCTGATTTAGGCACGGTTTAAATTCAAAATGAACAGCTTGTTTATGTTGGATTCTTTTTTTTTTAGGCAAAAACTAAAACTTCAGTGGGTATTTGCAAAAGCGAAAAAATAACTTGGAAAATAACGGGTACCCTCATGTACATATCTACCTATAAGCTTATATAGCAGATATATATCTTATAGAATAAATTGGCTATAACATCAACTGTTTCAACAACTAAAGCCTGTTATCATACATACACAAAAGCAAACATACATACATACATATAAATATATATAACTATATATTCATACGATATGACCACCCACTTATTATCATCGTATTCTCATCTCGTAGATGCAAAAACGAATAATTTCTAATTAGTTGTATTAGAGCCTTGGTCTGAAACAAATAATAATTACCAAAAACACAATAGACTTCTTGCTATAATAACAGTTATTGTTTCCGGCAACCACAGTTAGAATGCAAATATGTTTACCACGCAAATATCTACGTATTTATCTATGCATATATGTATATATGTATGCATGCATGTAGGTATGTGTGCGCTTGCATAACTTAATACCATATTTCGCAATATTTTATAATTAGGTGGAGCAACAGCCATAAATGAGTAGTCTTACCGCATACCAAATATCCAAACAAGAATTGCAAAGAAAAGATATTCAAAATATATTCAACAAAGTATTAATATTTCTCTCCATTATGGGCATACACTGTGTTACATGAGATGCCTAGAAGTCAAGTTGCATAATTCTGTGTGTTATTGCGTTTGTTGCATGCCACAATGGGCAGTTGAGAAGTCATATCAAGAAGTCAAAGGGAGACAACTGATAATTGCATGTTGCAAATTGCAACTGATTGCAAGCAAACACCAGCAAATACACACATACGCATGCATATGCATGTACATTTTGAGTGGCACGGCAAAGGTTAGTAACTAAGTGCTGTTATATTATTAGTATCTCAAGTTTAGTTAGCACACAAACGAGTATATACGATATATTGTATGTATGTGGTAAATATATGTACATACCTATGTGTATATGTATGTACACAGAATATGGGTTTGTATATATTTTTGTGTGTCTGTATGTATATATGTATGTGTGCCATTACAAATATGCCAAGTAAAGTTCCATTGAAATTTACAGTTGAAATTTCGCAGGACATTGATTGGACTTAATTTTAATTAGGCGCACAGTTCAATGGTGCAAAGTTACGAACATCTACGTAATTCAGGCGATAATACATGACAGCAATGCTAATAACACAGATAAGCAGTCGATAATGTTGACACACATTGTATGTATTTAGAAAGCAGATACCGATAATGACAATAGTCTGCTGAGAGCTGCTCAGTAGGTGGTGCTTAAAGGCATAACCTTTATGTAATCAATTTTAACGATTTACTATTTAGTGCTTATGATTACGGTCTGTTCGAGCAAAATTTCAGGAAAAATGTTCGGGATGCAATTAAACCTAGATTAATTTTACGGAAATTTTTTTTATATTTTTTTTTATACATGGGCAGTAGATTTGGGTGCTTATTTTAATTAATTGTTCTGCGAAATGTGAAAGACCTTATAAAATATATATACATATAAATGATCAGCATGACGAGCTGAATTGATTTAGCCATGTCTGTATGTCGGATCGGACTGCTAAAGCATATAGCTGTAATATAATACAAACTGAACAATCAAAATCAAGCCTATATATAAAAAACTTGTTTTCTTTTTAATAAGGTTTGTTCACGAAATTTGATGTAGATTATTCTCCAAGGCAACAATACAATATCCGAGGAAATTATTCAGATCGGACCACTTTATTGTATAGCTGCTATACAAACTGAGCGATCAAAATCAAGTTCTTGTAAGAAAACCTGAACCTGTAAAAGATATGATGACTACAGTGCAGCCGAAGTTAACGTGTTTTTTTGTTAATTTTTCCAAAAAACTTTTATCACAGATTTTTTAACTTTTTCGATTTTAATCAGAATTTAATTTTTTTCTTGCTCCATACGATAGAGCGATGTTGAAAGAAAACCCATGCAAACTTTCAAGAAAATCGACTGCTTAGGACTTAAAATATTTTCGCACCGAAAGAAGTAGTTTAGAGTTTTATATTAAGTCTAAACCGAACCAAACCGACTTTGAAAATAATTTGATTTTTTGAAAACCATTTTAAGTAGATATTTTTGAATATTCAAACTATGGAAGCATAAAAAAATAGTTTCTATTTTTTAAAATTCTAAACTAGAATACTCTCATAAGTTAACCTATTAAGCAAAGTGGCAACCCCAGTTCGAATATTGGAGTATTTTCGGTGAACAAATTAAAAAAATATGTTCTTCAATGTACCAATTCTTCAAAAACTCTCGAACAATTATCAAATACAAATTATATAATAAGGAAATAAATTTTCATACTTCATTCATCATTATGTATTATGAGCTTAAATTATTTATGTTTGGTCTCTAGGCATTTTAAACTAGAAATTAAATTTTAACTGATTTTAAATAAAGAGAAAGAAAATTTGTTTTTACTACTTCTCGCTCTCTTAAAAATTATAGGGAAAATTATTAATGGAACTTATGACTCTTTATTCTAAAAATTTATTGTAAATATATATAAAATTTACTGTTAATAAATAAATTATATATGTAATATCACACTAAAATCGTCTGAAAAATTTTGGACTTTCGTAAGACCATGCTTTAATCTGTAATTAAGCACAAAAATGGGGCGAATTTTCAAGAGTGAGGCGAATGCAGCATAAATGAAGCTTTTAACCTTTTTACTAAACCAATAAAAAATTTTTTTTTAAATATTTCTACCTTCAATTATACATATTTCTTTAATATTTTTTAGATTTGCTCGACATTTCTTGAAACAAAAAGAGAAATAAGTAACTTTTCTACTTATTTTGGATATACCTAACCTTACAAGAGACATAAGTTTGAACACAAATCTAATGTCTCACTCTATCAGTCGCTCTACACTTTATGACGACATTTATGCAATCAATTTATAAGATTGACTCATCCGAATACTCAGCACTCGACTACACGCCTCATCAGCTTAGTTAGGCAATGAAGAGATAAGTGGCTTTATTAAGCACTGCATGTTGATGATAGAAACGTCAAGCATTTCAGTTAGGGACCTTTAAGATGCGATTACAAGTAGCATGTGTCAGCAATCAAAAGCCTGGCAAGTGCTTATTACTGTGAGTGAATACGAGCTATGAAGATGCACGAGACACACACAAAAGTAGGATAACTGTTTGCCAAGCATGTCAACGTGCAATTGACGCATTTAAATTACTTTTGTAGGTATTGTAATTTAATTAGGTGAACTTGTAATTGGCTTGCATATATCCAAAACTATGTATATTTAAGGCACACAAATATTTACTCACCGAATTGTGATTCATCCAGTAGTGTCTTCTTGATTTCATGCCCCTCATCGCTGCCATCGACATTCTCCAGTTCGGTGCGACGCGGCGGTTTCTCAACCGGATTCACCTCGGTGAGCAGACTCTTCTGCATCTCCATTATTACTGAACCCTCCAACATCGAACTATTGGTCTTGTCCATTTTCGTTGATATCAAACCATTCTCACTCATCATGGTCGCATCCTTTTGATAAGAGCGTGCACGTCGACAATACCAACAGGCAATGAGCAGTACACACATGACTATCAACAGCACGGTAATGACAATCAAACAGATGACAAGTAGGAAATTCGATTGTGTGTCTGTGGTGGAAGCGCCCATGCCGACGCCAATACCTTCGAGCGCGCCAAAGAAGTCACCATCGACGATCAATTGAAATTCAGCCTCTGCTTTGCCACCACGATTCTCCGCTATGCAAGTGTAGACGCCCTTATCGCTGGCGCGCACATTGAATATGCGCAATTCAGAGGTGACCGACTCGAGCGGATCGGAGCTGATGACCGGCTGCTGTTCAAGCGAGTTGAGCACACGAAAACGTTGATCATTCGGATTGATGGCACGTCGATTGTAGATCCAGGTGATATTTGGGCGCGGCGTACCTTCGACACGACACGGCAGTGTTATATTATCCGATTGCACTTCGACAAACGAGCGCACCGAGCCGAGTATGTGTGGCTGACAGGCGAAATTCTCCGATGGTACATCGGTCCAAAGCTTGCCACGCAGCGCTGGCGGTTGTGCGCAGTCTGTGGGCGGTGTGTACAGACGATTGGCGAGCGCGAAATCACGTAAGGCTTGCAGTTCGCATGTGCAGTTCCAGGGATTCTGCGCCAATGAGAGATGCGTCAATTTCGGTATGCGTGTGAAGGTCTCTTTGCGTAGCACATACAATGCATTAGCTTCCAGATATATGGCCGACAACATCGGCTGCTGACCGAAGGCATGCACTTCGACTTGCTTCAATCGATTATTTTTGAATTCGACACGCGACAGAAATGGTAAGTCGACAAAGAGATAATTTTCCAGCACCTCGATTTCATTGTGATTCATAACGAGCGTGCGCAACTTCTCAAGGCCACTGAATGTGCCAACGTGCAGCTCGCGTATGAAATTATGCGACATATCCAGCTCGATGAGTATGGGTAGACCTTTGAGCGCATCACGGTTCACCTCTTGTATCGTGCAATTACGCAAGAATATCTTATGTAGATTCTGTAAATTCGCATCGGCGAACTCTTCACGCCTCAACTCGGGTATCAGATTATTCGAGAAGTCCACAACCTGCATTTCGTTGCTCAGATCGTCGGGTATGGTGGTGAGCGAGCGCGCCTTGCAATCGGCTGTCTTCTTACCCGAATTCCAGTTGCAATGGCACATGCTGCAATGTTGCATCCAATCGGGGTTGCCATCCGTGGGCGCTATGCTTACGAGCAGCAACAGCAAGAACAGCGTTTGTGTGAGTAGCACGAGCGACATGGTAGAACGTGCGCTATTATGACGTTGTTGTGGCGCAGAGTTAATGTATTTTATTGTTGTATTGTTGTTGCTACTGCTGCCTGCGCAACTCGCTGAATGGCGCTGTTGATTACGCATATTGCTGTTGTTGCTACTGCTACAACAACTTGCCACACTCTTATCAATGTGGCTTAACATGTCGTGTGTGTGTGTGTGCGTGTACTGCTGCTTCGTGTTGCACGCGTTTACCTTTGTGGCGCGTGCAACTCTGCCTTTCCGGTTGCTACAGCTTCTCAACTGTCTGCTATTATCGATAATTGCCTGCTGCGCTTACAGTGCTGGTGTCCGCCACAGGCGTATTATTAACTCTATGCTGTTGCGCCGCAATGTGGCAATGCCTGACCGTTAGCTATCCGTTGCCTTTTGGTTTCTGTCAGCTTGCTCTAGCCAATCTCTGATATCAAGCTAAGCTTTCGGTGTTGCAGGGTCGGCGGTTGTTTTGGGCGTGTTGCTGATTGCTTTGTTTGTCGAGTGTGCGTGTATAGTATATAGTACTGTTGCTGTGGCAAGTTCGTTTTCTGCACAAGCTTCTGATTAATTAACGTCCTTGCAGTAAATCCTTTACGTTGGCAGTTTGTTTGTGCGTCCGTTATTTGTTGGTTTGCTTTTTGATTATTTTGTCGCCTTTGGGAGTTAACGGTTATTTACCGCTTTGTGTTGGTTCTTATTTTGCTATAATACCAGTGTAATTTAGCAACAGTGTTGTGTCACTTTGTAATTAGCATAACACTGACGGTTGTCTGAAATTGTGGAAGAGAGGAAAATTGTAATTAAAAAATTAAACAAATAGTAGAGAAATAAAAAATAAATAAAAATATAGATCATATATATTTTATCTTATGTAATGAACTACTTTTTAGTTAAAATATAATTATATACAAATATAATCAGTATCTGGCTCTTTATATGGTAATCGCCGAAAAAAACCAGAAAAAAAGTTAACTTCGGTTGCACCGAAGGTATAATACTCAAATACCAAATACAAAGAACTTGATTTCGATCGTTCAATTTGTAGGTCACCTATATGATATAGTGATCTGATCTGAACAATTTATTCGGAGAATAGGCGTTTAATTTCTATTCTCACCAGTTCGGTGGGGTATCTGAAAGTGTGAGCTTTGCTGTGTCTAAGCTTTAATCTCGCAAGCGCGGGACAATCTCTCACAATTAGGGAGAGGCTAGCCCTACTAAGAGCAAATAGCTCACTGGATGCAACACCGAATGAACTGATAGTAATTGAGCGCTGGTCAAGTTCCCGCGAGGCACAGCTATCCAGTAGTAGAGCACACGAGAAGAGGGAAGTACCTACCCGTTACTATTCTACTGATAGCAGGGCTAGGGCACTCGTTCTTGCCAGCTCATCAGCTTTATAGTTGGCCTGGCATCTTTATTAGTCTTATCACAAAGTAACTCGAAGCTCTTGATAATGAGTAATAGTATCGCCGCCCTGCTATCAGAGTGGGTAGTCACTTCTCTGAAGACTTTGGAGCAGTAAATATACCGCTACCTTAATGGCAGCAAGCTCGCCATGAACAAAAAGAAACATAGGTATATATGTATGTACATATAGTTTATACGAAAACATATAATTTATATAAACATGATTTTGTAATATTTGTTTTTTTTTTTGACACTATATATCTTGAAGTTATCAGTTATTTGTAGTATATTTAATTACAAACGGAAATATTTATCAACTTTCATCATATTTTTTCTCAGTAGGCCCGTTTTTTTTTTTTTTTTTTACAAATCAATCCAACCACCTTTATTTTATTAATATTTTCCCAATAAGTCCTAAAATTTTTATGTAATGGTTTAATATGCTGACGATAACCGGCAGTATTAGCAGCAACTGTATTAACTTTAGGGCTTTTATAGCAATGCATGGTCTAGTTCCAAGTCGAATGCTCGATGGTTCGTTGTTGTGAATAAGCCGAAATATGCATTTAGAGAAAAATTCAAAGAAATACTCACAAAAACTTAGAGAGCCTAGATATGGCATTCAAACTTAAATTTTGATAAATATGTAAGGAAAATTAGAAACAATTTTAATCGGCTACTGATCTAAACTCACAAAAACAAAAAAATATTTTATTTTATGCTTAGATTCGGATATTTGATGCATTTCTTTTCACCACTAGAGCCATGTAGAGCTTGATTTCAAAAAATTAAGTATATACCTTAGAGAAATGGTCTGCGTTAACATATTTGACTCATATCAGTTGTGTGTTCGATTCGCTATTCACCAAGTTAGTAAGCAAATCAAAACTAACTTTTAATCTAGTTAGATGCATATCGAACACATACAGCGTTCTGATTAATGAGTTCACGTTGCAAAAAAGACATTTTGGAGTTTATAAATTTCTTGTGGTTTTTGGTATTTGCATTTTGAGTACATTTTCTCGCCACTCTCAAACATTTACCACTGCATAGGAATAAATGTAATTTAAACTAGCAAAAACTACAATAGAAACAACATTTTGATTTATTAGCATTTTACACCGTGTTATTTCGAAATCATTCCAAAACTTTCACTGCCCAGCATTGCTCGACTGCCGCAACTGATTGCTGATATTAAGTCAACATTGTTGCAAGACGCAGTCAAGCGGATGGGTTTTGTTTGGTAGTTTTTATGCTGCCTGCAGTTGGTTTTTTTTGGCTTTTTTTGTACTATTTCATTTTCTTGCTGTCGTGCTAATTACTTGATGCTTCTTTTTACTGCTGCTGCCTCCCACTTTTTGCTTGCCACGCAGTAGTGAAACTAATTTTTCCATTTCTTTTGAGAAATGAGCTAAGAAAAACTTTGACAAATGGCCTGGATTAGTGGCAAATTATTGTGCACTTTGGCTATACATACATACACACATAGTTAGCAAAGAGGCGGCAGCAGTAGTGCGGTAGAGGGCGGAAAATGCCGGACGCAGAGCAAAAAACGAAAATTAAAGGCAATGCGAGCGCTAACAGCTCAATTTCAGTGTAAGAAAGGCAAACATAAAATATATACATATGTACCATATACACCATATATACATACTTACATACCGTTCTATGCAAAAATGTAAATAAATTCAGCAAAAAATAACAACACGACTTCCACTAACAGCACTACATTTATTTTGCTCTCAACGTATTAGACTGACAAGCAACAGCTGTATTGTTGTCGAACGTGCGCTTGTGTATAAAAATGTTGCGCAACAATGTTGCACGTAGCATGTACTAACAAAAAAATTAAACAAACAGACACAAAACAAGGAACTATATTAATACCGGCAGAGCAGATGGTAAACTAAGAAATACATAAAAGCATACAAAAGCTAGTGTGATGAGCTGCTAAGAACAAGCATTCCCCTTGCTACGCTCTTCGCAGCGCACGAAATCATCTCGTAACTGTTGCACATTTTCATTACCGTCATTACGTCTTAAGGCATTTCGCTGACTTAAAGTACTTTAAGTGATTTTCTCTTTGCTGCTTAGTTCTCGTTTAATAGTCAGAGGAAGGCTAGGATTTGCAAGTTTTATACTAGTAAATTTCACCTTGTGTTTTATGCTATTTTTCATTGCTATTAGTGTCGTGTTAACTTTGTAAACTGTAAATTGCAGTTTTTAACGCGATACTAACTAGATCGCAGTTGTGTGGTATACTTGAAAACAAACCGTAAGTATGACTGACCAGGGCAACATTTCGTTTGGCGGGAATGCTCTGAGTATATCTTAGATGGTCGTAATATCAAAAAGTTTAGCTTAAATGCAAGGAATCTGATGTATCATATTATTATACCTTGAACAGGTAACATTAGTTTGCCACGAATTTTGTAACATCCAGTATGGAATCTCGGTCACCATTTAAATTATATACTTGTATAAATGATCAACGTGACGAGCTGGCTCGATTTAACCATGTCCGTATATCTGTCTGTATATACGCGAAGCTGCTTATTTGTCGGACCTGCCGATATATGATCATTATAGCGTATACTAGCTGTCATATAAACTGACAGATCAAAATCAAGTTCTTGTATTTAAGCTTTTTTATTTGTGAAGCGTATTATAGCTTCGATGCAAGCGAAGTTAACGCTTTTTCTTGTTTTATAAATATCTGTGTTTCGAGTATTTGGGTATTTTTACTTTTAGTACAGTTAGTTATTTAATTAAATGTTCATTAAAATTGGTACCAACTACTAAATCAACTTATGTAATGAACATTTCTCAATTATCGAAATCTCTTAATAACTACAACGCGTGCTGAGACACAAGTCAAGTCGATTTATTTCATTCTTCATTTGGCTTTCAATTCTCAACGTACTTACAAATATGTTCAAAAATATAGTGAGAATTTTTAAACTGAGCTAATTGGCACATCTCGTAAGAAACACTAGACAATACTAAGAAAATTTCAATCCAATTTTTCTGTAGACATCGATGGCACCTCTACTGAAGCGAATATTTACGGCCCGAAAACAGAGAGAAAGTTTCAGTAATATACTTAAAAATTAGACGTATTTTTGATAAAAGCCTAGCGGCAGAATATTTATATCGACCATAAGAAATAATTGAAATATAATATATTATATGTTTTAGATGCCTAAAAAGCTCTGAGGCTCTCTATTATTCCTTAATAGTATTCCACTATCTTCTAATAATATAAAACCCTTGCCAGATAAAAATATTTTCCATTCATAAATAACAAAGCTATCTATACTGACCTATCAAACATTTATTCTGAGTGATTTTGAGTGAAATAATATTATATATAGTACATATGTACATACATACAATGGATGATGAAGCTTAATTTTTCGACAAATATTTTAAAGCATTATGTGTACTTGATATAAAGTAATTATCAATTATAGTAAAGTCTGTACACTCCACATGTTACACTTCTAAACTGGCTAACCCCAAGCATCATCTCAGTATATTCCTAGATATTCAATCTTTATTTTGTGAAAAAATTTATTATGAATCCTGAACCGCTACACTTCTGAATATTAAGCATAACCTTGAATAATTGACTTTGAGCATAATTTGAATATTATTTGACTATTCTTGTTCGTTTTCTTCTTCATAAAAATAGAGCAATTCAAATAAATGTAAGTTACCTGCCCAGAATCCATCTTTTCTGAACTACAAGTATTTTTTTATTATTTTCTCAACTTTTCTTTAATTCGCTAGAAGACTTTTCTTTAATTGCCAAAGTTAAAAAAACTACTTCTAACACAAATTTTTCAGAACTAAGTTTCAGTGTGCGATTTAAATTGCTGCCTTAAACCAACACCGCGCATTCTTCTCTCTCACTCAATTGTTAAACTTTTTCATTGTCACTATGGAAATTCATGCGCAAAATCACAGCTGCTTATGTTTCAAAGGTAATGATTAATGCGCCTTTAAGCAGTAAAGTAGTCGCTGAACGCAAGTTGGCGCAGAGTTGATGCAAAGAATGCTGGCCTTGAATAAATACTTTTCAATGCAAGCGAAAAAAAGTGAGAGAAGAGAGCGAAGACAAGAATCATTTTCATTGCAAATTGCTCTGCGGCTATTCATTAGCGCACAATGAAAACTGGCAGCAATCCACTCGTATATTTGTATGTGTGTATGGATTTGAGTTCAAGACAATTGAAGAGACAGTGGACTGATGACTGCAACAATGCTGATGAGCGAAGAAAGACACAAGATGCAAATAAATGTAAATATGTATGTATGAAATAGTGCAAAAATGAAATGTGAATGCGTTAACTGGCTA